TTGTATTTTCTACAGACTAACCAGACAAGCGACTGTGGGTTGCTGTTTTCTGTGTCCCTGGAACAGTTTGTCTATATAAACCTCCCAACAGAACAGATCTTCAACTGTTATCATTTACTAAAGTACATAGCAGAAAGTGTGTTGTCCTTCCTAAGAAAGAGACATTTTCGTTTTGTATTTTCTATAGACAATTACGGTGATAATTTCAACCAGACAAGCGACTGTAGGTTGCTGTTTTCGGTGTCCCTGGGACAGTTTGTCTATATAAACCTCCCAACAGAACAGATCATTTACTCAAGTACACAGCAGAAAGTGTGTTGTCCTTCCTAAAAAAGAGACATTTTCGTTTCCCTTGCTTATAACATGGAGGTAGAAAAAAGGAAAGGAGGGAGGACGTATTTAGCACCCGCCGCGGCCTTTTGTTTTGCGGCGCTAGATCCCGCTGGTTTCTATTGTCCGCCGGCCCGGCGGTACTTCGTTTGATGCCTATGTTCGCCGCGGTCTCTCCCGCCAGAATTCCATATATGGCTATGCAAATGAGCCGAAAATGACATCACTGCCAGCGACGGCAGCCGAGTCCACTCCGAGCAGGGACCGACATACCCGAGTTTCCGAGCATTTCCTTATTTGGGTTGCGTCGTATTGTTGCGCAGAAGTCAGCATCGGGAGCGGAGGGAAATGGCGGATACGCAGATATGTTTATGTTTGTTGTGCGACGAAAAATGGGCGAGTTACTGCGTTTTTTGTGTTTTGTAAAGCTCGAATCGAACATTTTAGAACTGGAACATTTCAACAAATACAATCGTCTAGTATGAATTTGTGTGATTTTTTCTAGATATGCCGATATTTATTCTGGATAGTTGACGATGTTTATGTTCCATTTTCCAAACTTTCGTAACTGGCAAAGTAGCGATTTTTCCGGCAAAGTGGACTATTTGTGGCCATATTCTACAAGCTGTGTGCCTCTCTGCTAGCAGAGGAGGTGTGTAGAAATGGATTTTGTGCTCGAAGGCCAAAATAGAAACGAGACATAAAGTAACCGGGACATCCTTGCTTGTTATTTTTCTACCACAAGGAAATATTTGAAGTGACACATGCGCTCAATTCTTTGGTTGATTGTGGTTACCGGTAGGCCCGGTGCATGTTCCTCAAACAAGGATTCAAGCAAGGATTTGACCAAAGATACTTAACCTCCTGTTGTTTCAAGTATCGGGGTATAAAGATACTAGAAATAACAATTAAGTCTAGTTACTAGAAAATAGTTGCAGTGCCGTGCCGTCCGTCAAGTTTGTCGTCTTTGATACACGCTTCTTACCTCCCTGCATTCATCGAAGTAATCCTCAAATTTGATACAAACTTACCGTAGAATAAAAGTTGCTACACTTATAGTTGTCAAATGCCGGGCATGCCGTCTTGTCACTGACATTAATAACAATGGAAAACTCTGGTGTGCCGCTCTGGGGGCTACGCAAATCAGGGCAATTGACAAGTTCGTGCCAATTACAGTTTTGACGCCCGCGGCCAACATCGGACAATAGGCAGAAAGTTTGAGCTCCCTCCTTTCCTTTTTTCTACCTCCATGCTTATAATCATGAGTTCTACATTTTTACGGTGATAATTTCTACCAGACAAGCGACTGCTGGTTGATGTTTTCGGTGTCCCTGCTGCTGGGACAGTTTGTCTATATAAACCTCTGGACAGAACAGATCATTAACTGTTACCATTTACACAGCAGAAAGTGTACATGTGTTGTCCTTCTTTAAAAAAAGAGATGTTTTTGTTTTCCTTACTTAAAATCATGAGTTTTTAAGTTTTTTACAGACAATTTACGGTGATAATTTCAACCAGACAAGCGACTGTGGGTTGATGTTTTCGGTGTCCCTGGGACAGTTTGTCTATATAAACCTGTGGACAGAACTCGATCCACCACCGTGGAAGTGTTGAATGTTGGAGTGAAGCCCCCTTATCTCTGTTGCTAGGTTACCTAGCTGCCTGGCTCTCTCAGGTGATAGCTGTCTTTGTAATGATTACCCCACCTAGGCTTTGAGGCACAGGTTAGGTTTAGTGTTTAGGACAATGCAGGCTATTCATGCCCATTCTCATGTATTCTCTATGTACAACAGTCAAAGGGGTATCAGTCAAAGCAGAGACACAAAATGCATAAGCTTTGCCATCAGCAAACGTGTGTGTGTTGTACTGTAGTGGAAACACTTTTTCATTCATAGACGTTTCTTATTAATATTCTATACATTGCCTGTGTGAGTTTTCTTTCAAGGGGTGGTTATATTATAATATATTATAATCGCATTGCTTAGACTGTCAGGAAGTAATATATTTTTTATAGGGCCAAATGATATTGTATGAGTATGACCTCAGCGTTTAAGAATTTATTTGTTTAGGATGGACATTCTGATTGTTCATCTATTGCTTTTGATGTTTTGTTAAAATTGTGTATGTTTGAGTAATAATAGAATAATGTTGAGTATCTTCTTATGAATTAGCAAATCTGTTATTTGTGTCTCTTTTGTAGCAGTTAAAATGATGTCATACAGTAAGCATTCGGTTATGACTGTTATTCAAATGTATGAATTCAAATATGATAGTAGACTATTCAGCAAATACACATTGTCAAAAGCCAACAAGAAAAACAGTTCAAAATGTTGTTTGCATTTTGAATAGAAGAATAATTTAATTGTATAACTTAATCAGGGCTCGAATTACATTGTTTGGTAAAGACTGCACATAAGAAAAAACGTTAAAAAAATACAATTTTCTTTAATTGTATAACATATGGTTTCAAGTAGAATGTTAGCACAGATTCTAACTACACTGTATTAAACAGAAAGTTTGCTTCTCAGTACATGTGTCTAGGCCCATAAGGACCAGATGATAGATGTTTTTCAATACAGCAAATGGGAAACAGTTACTCTTTTTTTACATTTTCATACCTTTGCTCAGGATATTTCTAGTGGTTGCAATAGTCTATAAAGCTACTTGCTATTTGCAGTCAAAAATTACGTATGCCCCTCCAATTTCACATGCACAAAGTGGTGAATTCAAGGGATAATCAAGCCCTGATATATATATAGTAAATATATATATGTGGCCTTACCAGTACTGTGTACCCGCTGGACAGAGCCGGTTGGAAATATGGTGAGAAGACTAGCCGACTGCTGCCTGCCCGTGTCAGGGTCCCTCACAGCAGTTACATAACAATCAAATACTGGATAACACTAATACTGTTTAAGAAGGAGGAGCCTTGCCACCTTAAATGGACATGCACTTTACAGTTATACAACTGCTCAAAAAATGTTTAGGTACAGGTTTATATGTAGCATAGAGCTGCTACATGTTTGAGCCATTCTTTTTTCAGCAGAAATCATCCTGCAGGCCACTTTTCATTGAGGTCATGAAGGAAGAGGTATTACTACTAGCGTCAGACAAAAAGTGTCACAAATTCACACAAGTATATACCTATTTTTGGAGTAAATACAGGAAAGAACAAAATTTAGGGACAGGGAAGAACGAAAACATTGCATGAACGTTGCATCATCGGCATATTTGAGTTGAGGTCCAGGGTAGCTTGTATGTAGTTCAAATTGCATGACATACCACAAGTCAATATAAACATTCTGCTGACAGTTTTTGTTTGCAGTTTCTGTGACTGTGGGCTTAAAATATCACCACCGCAGGTTTATTCACGATCACTTGTTTAACAAGGACCGACCTCATGACCTGACTGTCTGTCATCTTCATCAAGGCAATCATGACTTTCACATTCATTCATTCCTATCCATTCATTCACTACATTGATAGAATTGTAAATCTCTAATATTTGCGATAGCAAAATTTCGCGGTCTGAGAAAGATGGACATGTTTGTGGAATTACATGTTCGTGGTGGTAGCAAGTGCAGAAGAAAGAAAGTCAGTGAATTATTTGTTCACAGTAATGATAAATTTGCGGTACAGAAATGACTGTGAAAACCCTAAATATAAAGTATTCACTCAATCTCTGAGTACAGGAGAGTTTGTCAAAATGTTCAGACCTGTACCTAAACGTCTGTATTTGTATATACGTACCGGATGTTACTTTCAGGTACACAGCCAAAATAGAAACACATACAAGATTATAATACGGTCAAACTTGCCCAAACAACCACTTCTATATAGCTATAAGCTGGCTATCTGGTTAGTATAATGACCGCTTTTCCTCGGTCCCAATTTTTGTCCACGTAGAAGTAAGCATTAACTAAGGGACTTGTCTAAGCTGACTACTAATGTCCAACTCAACTGCGACTGGTAGTATTGGGACCGCACATGGCCCAATATCTGCCTATGACTATGTCATTTTGAAGCGTGTGGTAGAAAATGTTTTTTTATGATAACTTGACTCTAGAGAGAAATTTTGATGCCTGTTGCTATTGACTTTGACAGCATGACAGTCTTTGTGTGATGTAAAATGGCATCGACAGTAAAATGGTTGGAAATTTTGCTGCAGTTTTCTTCTTTTCTGTTCTGGCATGTCACCTGCTTTTGTATAAGAAGACCACTTGTCTAAGATGACCACTTTTCCTTGGTCCCCTGGGTGGTTGTCTTAGACAAGTTTGACTGTACCCCTAAGTTCATCAATGATAATGCCTGTGATGCAAGCTGAAGTTATCAGAAGCAAACACTGTTAAGTTCCAGGTTCTTAGGGCCTAATTTAACAGCAAATGAAAACCCTATGAGTGCTTCCCACGGGCGACTTTTCAATTAAAACTCCACCCAAGAGTGTTAACGATCCCTTCTGCCTGATTAATTTCTCACAGTGACTGTTAACGTGTCTGGATAGATTCCTTCAGGCTTTGCTATTGGGATTGGATAGTTCTAAGAACAACGCAAATGGGTGGAATACTTAGGTCCGCTGCACTTAGATCTTGTGGTGTCTTTTGGGCATTACAGTCAAAAGGCCTGCACTTTTACCAGACTGACCGTTATTGTCGCTGTCATTTTCTTGCCAGGCTCATCGAGGCGGCAAATGAGTGCCAAAAGACTGCCAATGTGGACATTGACCTACTTGTGCAGAATTGCGAGCGATGTTCCGCCATGATTGCTCGAATCAGGAAAAAGGAGACGGATCCAATAAGAAACGTAAGTAAACCAGCAAAGTTTGTCTTCTTCGAAACTTGTTATCAGTCAAACTTGTGTAAGTGACCACCCAAGGTACTTGATGAAAATGGTCGCTAGACAAGGTGGCTACTACAGAGAGGATCCATTTAAAGCTTGAGTCAACCAATGGGAAAAACAATCAGAAAATGGCCACAATATTGCCTGCTAGTCCTTATATATACAAAGGTGATCACTAGTAATAGTAGTAGTAGAAGTAACTGATTTGACTGTATCAGTTTTCCTATGTGCCAATTTAGTTGCGTTATAATATCAATATGCTGTGTACATGTACCTAGATAAGTCTAACGATAAACCTGTATCATGGTGTACTTAAACATTGCTCAGTTTATGAAATACATAACGTTTGTGCTGTGTTTTAAACCAGGTTATTTGGTTGCTTGCTTGCTTGCTTGCTTGCACAGTTTAGAGTTATGTTGGTTTTACTTTTAGTAGCAAGTCAGCAGATCTTACTGCACCTGCGCGAAATCTGTAATGTATTGTGCATAGCACTTCAGTTGTACGTCTCATATAAGGTCATACTTGAGCATATAATGTTAACAGTCTGTCTATAGTTTCCAAATGCTATGTCGGAAAAGATTTTCTCTGCAACAGGCAAAATCCTGATGCAACGTTGACCAAACATCCAAACAAAACCATGAAAGATCAGGGTTTCGCGTAGGTGCAGTACGTTCTGCCAACATGCTGGTTTTGGTATGTGGGTGTTCAAATCGGTCACTGTAGGACAAATTAATAGCTCTGACATCTAGAGATTACAAAGAGTCATTTCTAGTGTCTACACTCCAGTTATTTAAGGGTTTGTGTGTGGGAAAATTACAGAGTCTCCCTGCTGTTTTTATCTCAAAGAAACTGGTACCCTGTTGTTTCTAGAAATTTCTTTGTACCTGAGTATACAACACTATCAGTATGGCTACTCATTTTTTCAAATTAGATAAAAGTACAGGAACCTGTAACATTAATTATTAATACACCTTGGTACTGCATAAATGTATTAGGTATCTATGGTTGGTTAGGCCTAGGAAAAAATGGTGTGTTTCCTGTTTCCCAACCAACCCTAGAAGAAACTGCAGACCCTAGCCTTTTTTGGGTGGATCCCTGCAAGGGACGTAAAGTTTTCGAGCTAGCTGATCAACTTTTTCTAACTCCACAATCTGACACCTGAGTGATGAAACGTTGTACAATCAGTTTTCCAACATTGACATTGAAACTACAAGTGTCCTCATGCAAGTTTTACTTTGTTAAAACTGTATTGTATAAGTTGGCTCACTATATAGAGATTGCCAAAGTCTAAAATAAAAAGAAAGAAAAAAGACAACCCCTACCTGCCGACCCTAAATTTTTCAGGACTGAAACAGGAAACACAAGATTTTGTTCTGAGGCCTCACATGTTGCCAGGATGGGTAATTAATTGGGGTGGACGAACAATCAGCAGAATGTTTATTTTTATTTAATTTCTTTTTAATTTTGTTTCATTCACATTTTATCTGTAAAGGATTGGTTGGGAAGCAATGTCTGCTCATCAAATTTTGGAAATAAGCACAGAAACACAAGCAAACACACAAACAAACACACTGAAAACAAAACTTTAAAATATGAATAGAACAAGAAAATGAAAATATACTTATGTCTGAAAGTCTAGTTATCAATCTAGGATTGAGGTGTAAAAAAAAAACTTTTTTTCTTCCTTGAACTATCGTAGAGTGGAACTCATTTCTACCAAGTACAGTAGGGGCATCATCACTAGATAGCTTTAAACAACGCCTGTAGCGAGATGTGCCAAGGTTAGGTGTAACAGGTCATTCGGTGTAATGTAGCCAGCTGATGCCTGCCTAAAAAGTTGTATATTAATTGCCAAAAGGTGGTCATACATAGCCTGAGTGACCACCTCTAAAAGCTGGCCATCTGGCCAAAACAACTGCTTTTTCTCAGTCCCAATTTTTTCCTGCATAGTTGTAAGCATTTAAAGGGACTTGCTTAAGCTGACCACTTGTCCAAAGCGACCACGACTGTCACTATTTGGGACCGCACATGGCCCAATCTCTGCCTATGGAGACCGCATCATTTTCAAGCATGTGACAGAAAATGTTTTCTGATGATAACATAGCGAGTAATCTTGCTGGATAATCAGCCAGTTTGCCATTGATTTTGACGGCATGACAGTCTTTGCGCAATGTAAAATGGCGCCGACTGGGTCACATTGGATCAGTGGGGCAGTCTGTTGTAAAATGGGGGGAAGTTTTGCTGCAGTTTTCTTGTTATGTCATCATGCTTTTTTTTGGATAAGAAGACCACTTGTCTAAGAAGACCACTTTTCCTTGGTCCCCTGGGTGGTTGTCTTAGACAAGTTTGACTGTATTAGCTTGTAATACAGATTCAGAAGCTGGTGTATTATGCCAAAAGCCGTTTATACCAGCCATACAGATACAAATCTTTTGCCTGAAGTCTGCCTTGGGTTAGACCTGTTCAAGTTAACCCAATTAGTTTCACTCCAAAAAACTCCCTAATAGTGTGGGGAACACAGATGGGGTTATCTGATAGCTTTAACATCCCAAGAGGAAACATCTTGGACCATAAGGTTGAACAAAAACCTTGAAAAATAATTTATATTGCCTTTCGGACATGGTCTTATCTCTGGGATTACAGACAATTATTCTATTTGGCTGAGGGGAGCTCCTTGAGGGTCTGAATCAGTCCAAAGTTTTCTTAAAGGAATAATTGTTAAGATCCACTCTTAAGTCCACTTGAGGTCTATGTACAACTATCTCAGTATCTTGGACAATTAAGACAATTACAAAAATGACTAGGTGCTCGTAAATGATTATACCATACATACATATATACGCTCAATGCAAAAAGTTTGGAAACTTGAATTCAATCAAACATATGAGTTATATCTTCACTGTTACTTAATCACTTTATCATATTATACGTCACTGGAAAGTGTAAAGTGCCATTCCCAAGCGCACAACACTGAAACCTGCCACAGATTCGAACCCAGAACCTTCAGATTCTGAGTCAACAACCCTAACCACAAGACTACCTTTACGTACATGTCAGTCATGTATCATTCTGCGGCTATTCCCTCATGAATACCTGATGGACGTTACTGATCCAGAGTTGATTGACCTCAGTGTTCGCCAGTAACCTTTGGTCAAGGAGACTTCTGCTATAATGTGTACATATGACTGGACTCCAGCATTTGGTACATGTTGTGGGCTACACGTACACTGTAACACTGTATGGGATATACATGTACACTGTAACACTGTATGGGATATACACGTACACTGTAACACTGTATGGGATATATGAATAAATAAAGTAAAGATAAAGGCCATGTAATTGAATGACACTCATAAATCAGATTGATACAGCTGTCCCTATAAACCTTTACACTAACATTGCTGCCTTTAATGCTTAAAGACATTTATTTACACTAGCACTGCTATCCCTGGTGCTTAAAAGACATTTATTTACACTAGCGCTGCTGTCCCTAATGCTAAATGCCTGCTGTCCCTGGTGCTGAATAACTTTCACACTGACACTGCTGTCCCTGATACTGATTAACCTTCACACTGACAATGCTGTCCCTAACGCTGAAAGGACATTTATTTGCACTAACTCTGCTGTCCCTGGTGCTGAATTCCAGGTACACTGGCACTGCTGTCTCTGGTGCTGAATAAACTTCACACAGACACAGCTGTCCCTGATACTGAATAACCTTCACACTGACACTGCTGTCCATGGTGCTGAATAACCTTCACACTGACACTGCTGTCCCTGGTGCTGAATAATCTTCACACTGACACTGCTGTCCCTGGTGCTGAATAACCTTCACACTGACACTGCTGTCCCTGGTGCTGAATGACCTTCACACCAACATTGCTGTCCTTGGTGCTGAATGACCTTCACACAGACGCTGCTATCCCTGGTACTGAATAACCTTCACCCTCAAACTGCTTTCCCTGGTACTGATAAACACATAACAACACACACTGACATTATCAAGGTCCTGTATTGGTGTGAAGCATGATGCTTTACCTATTGTCAATATAATTATCAAAAAGTTGTCTGGTAAACAAGCAAAGCTGAATTTGTCCTTCAGAGTCTTGTTGACAATCAGTTCAGACATCAGAGGTTGTCCTGTACTGCAGTGTTGGCAATTAATTTATGGTCGGGGCAAACAACAGGAAATATAAGTAATAAGGGACTGTTTGTATGTTTGTGTCCTTCAGGCCCTCACCCTAATTTGGTAAGCTTTTCCTTGGCCCTCCCTCAGGTATCAACTCTTGAAAAATATTCAAGATATCAACAAAAAAAAGTTTCTGAATGATTCTGACCCCATTTGAAAACTTTGAATATATGTCAGAATGTTATGAAGAAGACCACAAATTTTGCCATGACCCTCCCCCCTGCTAATTTTTTTCTACATGGCCCTCCAGTAAAAATTATTCCTTGTCCCTTCTCCCTCTGAGGGCTGACCCTCCCCTTAAAAGTCTGTAACTGTGACCCTCCAAATTTGATCCAAACTGCAAAGAAAGATGGAAATGGCCTTCCAATTTTTTTACAACATATGTAGATTGCATAAGACAACCCTGACCAAACATATAAGATATGTATGCCAATCAGAAGTTAACCTTTTCCTTGCTACCTGACCCTGTAACCAATACATATTAGTTGGTGCCAAAGGCTACCCTGGCAGGAAGGAGGTTATAGACTGGCCTCATGGTATCAAATATTGCAATTGAAACAGCTGAAGCAACAGTACATTACAACTTAACCTTCTCCCTGCCGCCTAACCCCAGAACCAGTCCAAATCTGGTACCAATTGGCGACCTTAGCATGCTGAAGGTCGTAATAAGGTGAAGGTGACAAAACCATTGCGCTCAGTCATACTTTTTTAAAACCTGCTCTAGACTTTATTCAAGGGCTCCATTTTAGACTGTGTCAACATTAGATAAGCC